CGTGCTCGTTGGTGAGCTAGAGCCATTTTTCAACTGACAGAGCTCAATATCAAGGCAAATCCGTCATGTTTTCAATATGCGCGTGCACGAGCGCGCACTGATGACGCCATAAATTATGCGCAGTAAGGATGCGCAATGCAAATGTGGGGAATGACCTTAAATGAGAAAAATGTCGTTTGCAACTGAAACGACTGCCCGCATTAGCCTCAGTTGCAAGCTAGTTCCAGTCCAATACCTTCAATTACCTTCAAATAAATAAAAATAAACCAGAAAGGAAAAGGGATGGTCAAGACTGGAGAATATGTAGACGGAGAATGATGGAACTACTGCAATCGTGAAAAAACTGAGGCTAAATTCACATGAGTTTAGAAAATTTCAAAGGGGTCTGAGTAAAATCTTAAACCTTGCATTGGCAGATCAGAGGTACTAAAAATAAAGGAGAGTACGGAGTGGAGGTAAAGTGAAAATGAGAGGGGTTGAGCCAACTGCCAAGTTGGCGCCTTTTTTCCCAATGAGGGGAGGAAGGGCAAACTTTATTTTTTATCTTTTTCAGGCAAAAGGGCATTCTTGTTCCCAGGGCAGCCTGTCCATCTAAGCCCACAAGTCCTTGGCACAAGGGAAAGGTTTCCCTGGTAATTCTGTTTTGATATTCCCTTAGTTAAAATCAGTTCAGGTCTGTTGATACTCTAATCAAATGATTTTAGTTCAAGATCAACCCTGGAGTGGCTATTTTTGGGAATAAAAACCAGCATTGAATTAATGAAAATCTTTAAGATCCCTAATGTAAAAGTCTAGTGTCTCTAGAGCCATCTTTCTCACATGCCTAGCCCCCATGGGCTATGAGAGATAGGCTGTTCTGGAGATGAGAACAGCCATGGCAAAAAGGTGGAAGCCAAGTGCCCCACAGGCCCTGCTCAGTGATCTGTCACTGCCATGAGCCTTCAAGTTTTCAATTTTGTCTATATTTAATCCACTTCCATCCTCATGGTTCAGGGGCAGATCCAGGGGGAGGATGCAGGGGGCGTGCACCCTCCCCCCCCCCCTGAGATGAAGCCTTCTAAATTGTTTACGCTTTTATAATTTGTTTACCTCACCAGTTAGTTACACCATTCTTTAGTGGTGCACCCACTCCTAAAAAAAATCCTGGATCCGCCCCCTGCGGTTGTTATTTGTCTCCAGTTCCTAACCCATGAGAAACCGGGATAAGCTCCGGCCTGGTGGGCCACTTGGCTCGTATGCAGACTTTACCACCTAACCCATGGGTTACTGTCAATATTGCTATTTTTAATACTATTCTGCAATATGGGCATGATTTTCAAAGCTGTTAAAAATTTTGAGAATAAAGCAACTTTTAAAAAAACACAGTCATAACTCATACTGCTTTGTCTCCATCACATCCTGAGGTTTTACATGAGCCTCTCATTCTTCCAGATGTCAATACATCATCCCACCTACTGGGGTCCTGTACAGAACACCAAAAGTGGAATTGAAGAGGTGCATGTATGTACGGTGCAAAGTCATCTTAATTTTCATTTGAATCTTCATGGCTCAAACTATTGCTAAAGACAAAATGTTTCTAGAAACAAAAGAAAAACTCTAGGACTACAGTATTTCCAACAATGTCCCTTTTTTGAACCATACTATTTATTGTAAAATGTCTGAAACCTGCCTCTGCATTGTGGTTTTTATCTTCATTATTGTAGTTTTTAAATTGGCAGCATTTTTTTCAAATATCCATTCAAAACAACTTGAAAGTCATCTACAGTAAGCAGATATGTCACATGGAATATTACAGCACAATTTTAAAAAGTAAATGAGAAGGATCTTAATTCTAAAAACTGATACAAACTTACTTTTCATTAACCAAAAACAACTGTGTTGCTGACGCACCTGCTGAAGAACAATCGCTCCTTCTTTGCAAATTGAACAACAGACCCTCAACTTTCCTGGAGTCACTGTTTTACAAGTCTTGCAATAGACATAATATTGAGCCTGTCGCTGTGGAGACGCTGCAGAATGAACAATAAAAAAATTATAGATGGTAATTAAGAAATTGAATAAGAATATTATAATAGATAAATGGCTGAGCCAGATCAACTGAGAATTGAAGTCGGGGAGAGTTGCAAGCAAGGGTTTTTAATTAGTGTGCAAGAACAAGGGTATACAGTGTAATTAGTGTGTGGTCAAACAAGGCAGAAGTGACGGGGGGGGGGGGATAACTCTTACTACAGATCCTTTGCAAGTCCCTGATTTTCCTACTGAACAGATTTCTTTGTTTGTGACCCTGTTTATAACATCAACCATTATGAGTGCAAATCATCCCACAACAATTGTTGTGCACAGCACAATTCTGCCAGGCGTCAATGTGCCCAAAATTGAAACAAAAAGTCTTTTGTGCGGCTGACTTTATAAAATGTGAATACTGAAATTGATAAGGTGGCCCTATTCTAGACAGGAAACCCTGAAAACCATACCCCATCCGGCAGCAGATCGCTTGTGAGGCAAAAAAAGGGAGTACCTCTTCCTTGCTCCCAATATAAATTTCCATAATCACAATTAAAAACAAATGAAAATTCACAGGTTAAATTTATTGTTAGTTTGGCAAATCTTCATACCTGCAGCAGCTGCACCTGCATCTTCCTGTTCTTCTCCAACAGTAGCAAGTTTGACTTGACTCAATGGTGTTGTCTTACCCTTTCCTGGTCTTGCTGACCAACGACCACCACGAACAGCATGGACAACACTTTGGTTAGGGATCTCGGCATCCTGATGAAAATTTCAATTAACTAAATAAGAAACTGTTACAATTAGAGCAAAACACAAAAAGACACTATGTATTCCAGTCTTGAATTTACCAATCATCATCCTTTGTTCAATGAGTCATGACTGACACCAGTTTCAATAAAACAGACGACCAGCTAGATAGTGAGATCTGCTAGGGGTGAGCATTGAGACAATTTTGTTTTGAAAGAAATGTTGTAGAGTTTAAACGCCTTTAAAAGAAGGTAAAATATATGATTTGCACGGATAAGGAGGATGCACTTTAAAGTGCCTCTGAAGTAAAAAATAATTTGTGCTCATTTGAAAGGCTTTTCAGAGTAAAGAAGAATGGCATTTTCCTTTTTGGAATATCTTTTTTCGTTTTAGAGATATTTACGTTTTTGTATAATGTAAATGAGGAAAGCAATGACATCATAGGTGGTTGCACTAAAACAGTTTAACACTCAATCAAGAATATCTCTAGAAATATTAGAGCAGTGTTAGCACCAGAAATGTGCATCACAAAAGAAACAAAATGACACCCGTCGTGCCATCGCCATGCCAACAGTTAAGCCACTGGTCCTGTTTTAATTAAAACTAAAATTCCCAGATTTTATCTTAAACAAGGATCACCCACTCCCAACAATCTAATAGGGAGAGTTAAGGCAATATGGGAACCATGTGTGTTCTGACCAAGACCCTCTGTCACTTTTTAAAGGGTTGCAAATGGGCATATTTGATTTTTTACAGAAAGAAACTGGAGCATGAGTGTTGCCATGGCAACAACACAGAAGGTGTCATTCTGTTTCTTTTGTGATGTACATTTCTGGTGCCAAGTTTGAAGAACACTGCTCCAATATTTCTAGAGATATTCTTAATGCAGTGTTTCACTGTTTAAGTGGAACTTAATTTATGACGTCATCACTTTCCTCATTTGCATAAAACATTTTAAATGTAAATATCTCTAAAATGAAAAAAGATATTCCAAAGAGGACAATGCCATTCTTCTTTACTTTGAAAAGCCTTTCAAATAAGCAGCAATTATTTTTTAATTCATGGGCACTTTAATATGAAAAATATGAAAATGAAGCCAAGTTAAAAATTGCTGATGAAGTACTTGGGGTTACTAATAATATTCCAAAGTTCTGTCCTTTTTGACCATCAGGCACTTTCTACGTTTTCCCACCCCTTTTAATCTCTTATGTCTCAGATTGTCCATTGTCTTGAAATTTAAGAAGCCTTTGTTTTGAGTTACAAAAATATGTCTTGTTCTTGTGTGTATCCTTCGTCTCTGGAGTCTAAAATCATTCAGGTCTGAGTCTCAGTCTCAAGGGTCTTGGCATCTGTGCAAGTCTAGATATTGCCATTTATCACCTCTAACTATTTGGCGCACTGACAATTAACAATCAAAATTGCCAAAAATGTTGTTACAAAATTATTTTGTACACCCTGTAATAACATCTTTGGCATTTGTCTACCATAAGTTAGTCAGAGTATTATTTTGAGGTTTCCAATTTGAGGTTTTCAGTTTAGAGGTAATATCTTGTCTAACCCTGTACATCAGCAAAATGACTAAGGATATTGTTGCATACAGTTAGCTCCAGCACAATTTAATTTTCTCTCTAAGCCAGTATCACCTTTAGTTTGAGCTCATCCTTAAGTTCTCGCCCAGCAAAAATAATTCGTATTTCTGTGGGATCTACTCCTTGTTGTGCAGCTATTTCTTCCTTTAACCTTGCTACGTTCCATTGCAGATCTATGTGTACTGGTATGTTTATGTTGGAGTTAAACCGTACAAAGATTGGATGTCTTTGAGGTCTTCGTGATCCCATGCTCTACCACTTAAAACAAACCTGTAAGAAGAATGTCAAATTTGTAATGAACTACAGTTGCTGGTCATGACACTGTTTTCCGTTACTAAATTCTGGCTAACAAATGGTGGGTTCATATTGAAGGTATGTTCAAAATTAAAATGAAAGGCTTACATGTAGATTTAATTTCTTTGGGTCAAAATAGTATACTGACATGGCTGACTTAATTAGACGTTCATAAATGCAGGATTTTATTTTAAAAGGTGGTAGTCCGATGCAGAAAGAAGTCAATTGATAACAACTGACACAATGACAATGAAGTGAAGTGACATGACATGAAGTGAACTCCTATTAATTAATATAAATCTGGAAATATTAAAGAAAATGGTTCTGTAGTTTAATAGATAAGATCATGTAGTAATGCTTGGGCAACTACTGTAGTATGAAAATCTCAAGACAATGGTATTATTCTCATCTGCAATATTAACACAACTCTATTGCGCCATATAGCCTATTGGTAAGAATTGTCGTAAGTCTCCAATACAGATGTCGTTTGGACTTCTCATGTGATCTTTCTCACGTGTAACAAGTTGGAAGGGCGTCTGCACTTGAGGCTAGATTACTTTGTACTTCTATCAATAAGAGCAGTAGTGCTGGCTAGCTTGGCCATAAACAGTTTGCAGTGGTAGTTTCAGTCTTTCGGATCAATATTTTCCCAGCTACCTATTTCTAGGGCAGCTATAATTATTGTAAGTGATTGAAACATTGAAATAGGAGGAGGCATTGAGGAGGATGGTGGTTAGGATGCTGCAGGGTTCGCCTTATCAGGGGTTAAGCGGTAAAATTTACTGCTTGTAAGAGAACTTATTATCGCCTGCAAACACTCTGAAATCATAAAAAAATACGCATTTACGGTGAGCTAATCTGATAAGAAAGTAATAGATGAAAAAAGAAACAGTGCACTTTTATAGATCTACGTGTGCTTTATTTAGTTAACACTGACTGGTACCTTTCGAATTTCGATGCAAGAGTGATTTTTCACGGGCTTTCTACTAAACCTCATGACATTCGTAAGTTCTCTACATGTGTAAATGTTGTCACGAAGTCACGAAGAGTAGCAGGTAAGCTTTCCAATCATTTTAGGGCTAAACAAAACACGGCTTACGCACTAGCAATGAAAAAGCAGCCAATTGCCAGAAATAACTGCCTTGACAGCTCTACATTTGCCGGCTTTATAGCGAACATGTGGGGACAAAGCCAGTCTTCATCGTGAAATTCTACTTGAAATGTATTCCAGACAATGGTTTGAAAGAAGCCTTGA